CTAGCCCCCTTGCATTAAACACTGTTAGCCTGAATGGTGGAACAGTCTTTTCTATAGCAGTAGCCCAGGCCCCTGATACTGCAGGATTTGTTGGCAATAAGATACGGCAGATTGTATTTAGCATTCTTTCGGACGAAGATACAGCAGACTGTTTAGTATTCTTTCTGATGAAGGACTCGTAATCAGTTATTACTGCCTGGAGGTCTCCCTTCACGCTTCTTCACCCTCAGGCAGGAGAATCACAAGCCGTACTATCAGAAACGTTATACTCTACCGCCTACACTGGGACAGGATGCAGCATTTTTGGGTGGGAAATCTGCCGTTCAGTTCATGCCTCAGGCTTGTTCCTTTCTTTAATTAAAGATCATATCATGGCATATATTCAGGTTGCATGCATTTGGATTTCCTCCATATAAAGATGCCAGGAAATTTGGAACGCACGGTGAGCCATGTCTTCAGCACTGGCATTTGCCTGGGATCCAGAAAGAGCTATCTTTGCTGATTGACTGTTACCAAACAAGCCACTAGTGGCATGAAACCCGGCTGAAGTGTATGCAAACAGCCTATGATTTTATATCCTTCATCGGTGGTGTCTCACTTGATTAACCATCACAAATTGTCGCTGTGGCTGACTGCATCAAAATGTCTTCCGCACGATATGGAAAATAGGGTTATCAGTCACCACTGGGACATATGAATGTACATTTCAGTCTAAAGCCATTTCAATGTACATTTCAGTCTCCAGCTCTCGTAGAACTCTGGATACCCTTGACCTGGCAGTCATTCTCACGATTGATTTCTGGACGGGTAAGCAGTACTTTGCCGAGAAGAACCGGGGGAAAGATCCTGCCTGCCCTTTGTCCTACCCTGCTGTCCTCTAGGTTCTATAGCCCATAATGCTTTTACAACATACACTTTGTACAGTGCCGCAAGTTTCCCATCCTAGACAGACAGATATATTTTTGATTCATATTTTTAAAAATACAGTTTGGTTATCTGCTCTCATGCCTCGCCAGCTGAATGCATGTATGCACAAACACACACACACGGTTGCTCTGTCAGATGCACAAATAATGATGTTGGCAACATACACAGCAATACCTCGTTATGGACGTAAACAGGGAAAACAATAGAAGCCTGTAGATTAAAACCAGTTAACTGGTAATGCTAGAAATGCTGAAACAGATGCAGGAAATAAGAAATCTTCACTTCTTCCTACAGTCATGAGGAGGGGCGCTGGGTGGAACCCACTTGGAAGGTTGTCCCCCAAAGAGAGGTGCTGCAGCTCTCTGGCCATCATCCTTCAGTCCTTTCACTAACCTGGTGTCAGAGGGTGGGAAGACTTGAACAAAGGCTTTTAACAACAAACGCAAGATTTAGGCAAGTTCGGGTCTCTTAAATGGAATTGGTCCCTGGGATCCTGTCCTGGTAGCAATTAAGCCATTTCCCTGGCTGCTGATCTATTTCCAGCCACAATTCAAAGATGAGGCAGAGGAAGCCACTCTTTTAGCTACCTGGGTACCAAATCATTAAAGGGCTATAAAGGTAAACGCTGTGAATTATGCCTGGAAATAGATTGGCAGCCTGGGGAAAGGTTTTAATGACGGACAAGAAAAGATCTCTGGAACCAGACTCCCACTTAATAGAGGCAAAGAGAATGGATTACCAACAGGGCTGTGTGTTGCTCGTGACTTTGAGATCTCTTGACATCCCAGTATCAGAAGCTTTCGTGAAGGGCTGGTGGGCATATAAACTCCCCTGTCCATCAGCCCTGGCCAACCAGACCTAGACAATCACTCTGTTTTGACCTGCAAAACTCTGTAAGTGCTGCTCTGACAACCTTAAAAGCCATGAACCCTGTTGGCCTCGATGTACCTGGGAACAGTGGAATGACCTACAAGGTGCTGGGCTATTGTCAGGATCCTTCTTGATGGTTCCTTGTAGGCAATCATTGTTCCTAAAGCAAACACTGCTGTGTTAGTGAAATCATGTATCTGCCACAGATAGTAATAGAAAGCAACTTCACTTGAAGGCTCGTGCCTTGTTTCTTATGCATCAGCTATTTAGGGATCATCCTGCATAACCGTGAAGAAGAAATGGGGATAATTCCTGACTTTCGCCTGCTTCTCACCATCCCTAATATAGCCTTCCCTAACTTAGCAACTGCCAAATGGGTTGGACTACAGTTCCCATCCACTCCAGTCAAGGAAACCCATGTCATGTGAATGGGAGCTATGGGAGTTCTAGTATCTCATGCCTGGTAGGGTGCCAGGTTGTGGACGTTTGTCTCATATAGTTCTCTTCAACCTTTGCCTCGCCAGAGATGCTGGACTTCAGCTTCCAGAATCCTTTGCCGCTGACCATGCTGACTAGGGTTCCTCGGGCATGACGTCCAAAATATCTGGAGGACTGAAGCCAGACAGCTGCTGCTTTAACAGAACGACTAAACAAAATTAAATGCTTCAGGTTAAATGCTGGCAAATTGGAGCAAAACAATTAGACTGATTAAGGACAGCAAGGAAACCATTTATGTAATTCATCTGTACTTTGAAGAGCATTTCTTACAGGACTGACAGTGCCCTGGGTAGATTCTCACAGTCCTGAAGCAGGGGTGGGGAAGCACTGGAATAAATTAATTTCTGCGCCTCATCTCCTTGCAGTCAGCTTGCCTTGATGGTGCTCTGCATGCGTTCATCTGACTACACGATGCAGGAGTTGGTAGCAATGGCTGGCTTCTTGTCTGTGGCAGCTGGGCCAGCGAGTATCAGAAATGGGAGTAAGGCTTGGTCTTCATGATAGGGAAATGAGTATGGTGTAGCAGTTTGGAGTATGGTGTTGGGATTTGGAAGATCCTCCTTCAAGCCCCTACTGAATGGATTCAGTGCTGTGGAAACCCATTAGATGCCTTTGGGCTCGTTAACTTTCATTCCTTTGAAGCCTGATCCATCAAATACGGTTGCTATGCAGATAAATAGAGGAAAGGAGAGTTAGATGTGTGACTTTTGAGCTGACTGGAAGATAGAAAGGATTTAATGGAATGAATGAATAAAAAATTAAGAATCAGGGTCTGCAAGTGCAGTGTTCTTATCTCCTCCACTAGCATAAAGGAAAGCCACGGAAGAATGTGAAGAACTTATTGGGGGTGCCACCACTGGAAAAAGGAGACCAGATGCTCTTGGGCTTCCTACTGAAATTGTCTTAGATAGTGGGCAGGATTAGCTTCTTCTCAGTTTCACTTCCCGATTACAGCCCATTTAGTCATGTATGCAGGTATATTAGAACAGCAGGACTTGTGATGGGGATCCTAAAACAGGGTTGGGAAACCTAAGGGTTCCCCCCACTCCCCCACCCCCAGGTGTTCATGATCCTTTCCTATGATCCTTCATCATTTTTCAGGCTGGATGGGATAATTTAGAACTGGACTCCATCTGGTTCGCCATTGTGGGTTCCTTAGTTCTGGATTATGGGATGATTAGATAGCCAAGGGTCTTGCGACATCCTTAGGTCTAGGGATTTTTATTGGACCTAAGCTTTGATGGACTGCCACCGTTTTTGTCATATGGAATTTTGTTTATTTATTTGTGATACAGTGGTGCCTCGCTAGACAGTTACCCTGCATGACAGTTTTTTCGCTAGACATTGACTTTTTGCGATATCTATAGTGATTCGCAAAACAGTGATTCCTATAGGGGAATTTTGCTGGACAATGTTTGGTCCCTGCTTCGCAAACTGATTTTCGCTAGACGACGATTTTGACAGCTCCCTCCGCGCTCACAAAACTGGTGTTCTTGGGACCTAAGGTTAGCAAGTGATTTAAACAGATGATTGACGGTTCGCAAAGCGGCTTTCCTATGACCGATAAACAGGTTTAAACGACGATTGTTCCCCATTGGAATGCATTAAACAGGTTTCAATGCATTCCAATGGGGAAATGCTTTTCGCTAGACAATGGTTTCGCTAAACAGCGATTTCAGTGGAACGGATCATCATCGTCTAGTGAGGCACCACTGTAGTTGCATCCTGCCTTTTCTTCAGCAAGAGCAACACAGCATACTTCCGCTCCTAATAAGATGGTCAGGTTGGGCTGATCAGGCTGCCTAAGGACACCCACTGAATTTCACTGCCAGGGGAGAAATGGAGCCTCCAGATCCCAGTCTAGCACTCTTAACCATTCCATCCTATTGCCTCTCAATATTCTTTCAATGTTGCCTCAGAAGGCAGACAAATGTGGGTGGGTGGAGTGAAATGAGGTGGAAAGGATGTAAAATGCAACAGAAATGTGCAGTACAGATAAGCAGAGAAAAACCTTTGCAGTGAAGTAAACTTTACAGTTCAAACCAAGTATAAACGAGAGTGCAGCCTGTGGATGGAAGCGGCACATTTTGGTGCAGGGATGAATTTTTCTATCCAAAAATGCCTAAACCTGTAAAAAAAAAAAATGAAGCGGCAAGTGTCTGAAGGACCACTTCCAATTTTAAAAAATCAGTATTTGAAGTTGTTAAATAGTGCAGTGGAGAAGGGATGCTATGACCTATTTAAAAAAGTAAACTGGCACTCCTGCAGGCTTCCAGGAACATCAGTACTCTTCCTTTTTAAATTTCTTGCTAGAAAATGGCATGTGCGTGTGTGTTGGGGGGGGAAGCTGTAAAGAGCACATCAGGGGCCTGCCTGCGGGTCTGGGGCTACCCTTTGCCCACCCCATTTCTAGATATAACCCGCGGATGGAGCAGTGAAATGAGAAGATAACAGGAATGGAAGAAATCACAAGTAGATAAAAATGGCCAAACAACCTTCAGAAAACAAACAAAAGCTGGGTGGTAATACAGATAAGCCTGTGTAGGAGAGATGGCTGATTAACCTGCGGTGGTATGTGTGGTAAGCGCTGCAGGAAAATTCAGAGTCAATCTAGAGCACAAGATGGAAAGCTGGTTGTGTGGAGCTTTTGCAGCCCCTCGCCTCAACGTTCTTGTCTCCCCTGCCTTCCCCTTTCCCTTTCCCAGGGGTTGTAGAAGATTACCGGCCTCCCTTCTTCGACCTGGTGCCCTCCGATCCCAGCTTTGAAGATATGAAGAAGGTGGTTTGCATTGACCAGCAGACTCCCACCATCCCAAACCGGCTCTACTCGGATCCAGTGAGTGAGGCAGCCGTGGGGCTCAGAACATCCGGCTGGGGGCACACGGGGGGGGGGAGGTTTTGCAGTCCAGGAAAGTATATCTCTGGGAAAGAACAGTTTTTATTCTTAGGGGACTCCATTGAGGGCTTTGTGACTTGGTTCTCTTTTCTTGGGAGGAAACAAAGAGCACATTCCACACATAAATTGAACTTCCAAGTCAACATTCTTGCACTTGGCCTGAGGGGGTGGGGGTGGGGGATGCCATTGCGTGACACCTTCTGTATCCAGAGGGAAAGAGCGTTTCATAGCAGTTAGGAGGACTAGGTTGGGAAATGGAGGCTTGCAGGGCAGGTCAGCTTTGCAGGGAAACAGAGTCGCCTTGAGGCAATATCCTCTACCTTTGGGCACCCCTTCCTGTAGCAAACAATACATTCAATAAATGAAGGAAAGGGAGAAGGGAGAAAATTGGACAGGAAAAGCTGCAGCTGCCAAGCCTCCCACTTAAGCCATTTTTGTAAAGGTTTGAGCAGAGCTCTGGATTGCCAGATTCAGGACCCAGTGGTTGAGTTTTTGTAGTAATCAAGCAGCCATTCTGCTCAACAGGTTGGAGCCTCTGGTTGCAGAGCTTCAGCCGCAGTTCAAATCCCTGCCGTGCCTCTCAGAATAGGGGCCACCCAAAGTTGCCCACAGCACATCGCTGGTGAGGATTATGTGCCCTTCCATCTATGGGCTTGGGCAAGCTGTAGCAACCCAAAGGAAGGGCGGGCCAGCCACTTCTAAGTAACGTATGTATACTTTGGCAGGATTGCCCAAAGTCAAAATTGATTTAACAACACGTTGTCGTTGTTGTTAGGGATAGAGGTGTATATTTTCCATATCTGCAATCACAGAAAGAGTGTAGAATTTGGCATTAGGTGCAACATTTTGCTTCCCTGGAAGATTCCCATCATAGTTCCACGCCTCTTGTAAAAAGCATTACCAGGGAGAGAGAAGACCGGGAAGATAAGAGCCTGAGCATGTGTGGGCTGTGCCTGCTAGTATCTCAGGAGCCAGAGGGAGGCTGGCCAAGACTTTGGGTGGTCAGATGATAGGGCTTCCACATGGAAGGGCGCACTGCTTCATAAAACCAGAAGAAATGATGCATGAAAAATAAGCCAATGCAGAAAGTTATAGTCCTTTTCTGTAACTTATTTGTGCCACTGCATTTTTTTGTTGTTGTTTTCTTTTTTGTCATTCAGAAAAGAAAAAAGGCCATTTTTAATTGTACAAGGACTAAGTGGAGGGCCAATAACATTGTCTGTGTCTTCTGCAATGTTCCCTCTAAGCTGTGCGGGTGCATGGTTGCACACTGCATCGGTACCACACACTGGAAGGCAGGTTTGCTGCCCATGTGGTTCTGGTGGCTACCTATGCTGATCAGGGTAGGAGTGGGATGATGGAAAACAAAATGGCTATTTGCCAGATGTATGAGAGTCCTGAGCATCTGTAAGTGGGCCTTTCCAGGGAATGAAGGGCCTTTGCAGCTGCCTAAGGGCAATACATAGTAGAGGTTCCACTGTGGTTTCTATGGACGGAAAAGAGCAGATACGGATTAAATGGATTTCAATGCATTCCTATGGGAAATGCAAATTCAACATAAGAACTTTTCAACTTGAGAACCACCTTCCAATACGGATTAAGTTCTTAAGTAGAGACCCCACTGTAGTCCTTTTCTGTAAGTTATTTGTGCCACTGCATTTTTTGTTGTTGTTTTCTTTTTTGTCATTCAGAAAAGAAAAAAAGGCCATTTTTAATTGTACAAGGACTAAGTGAAGGGCCAATAACATTGTTTGTGTCTTCTGCAATGTTCCCTCTAAGCTGTGCGGGTGCATGGTTGCACACTGCATCGGTACCACACACTGGAAGGCAGGTTTGCTGCCCATGTGGTACTGGTGGCTACCTATGCTGATCAGGGTAGGAGTGGGGTGATGGAAAACAAAATGCCTATTTGCCAGATGTATGAGGGTCCTGAGCAGAAGTAAGTGGGCCTTTCCAGGGAATGAAGGGCCTTTGCAGCTGCCTAAGGGCAATACATACTGATTCCAGGTTTAATCAAAAGAAATTTCTTTTCATTTAACTAATTCTGACCATATTAACATCCATCAACAAGCAGAAACACTCTAGTCTTATTAGTGGGTCCATAAATCTGGAATGAAAAGAAAAACAAATAAATTGTATTTCATGAATATGAAAGGACAACAATATAAAACTGGTTCCAAACATATTTTCCCCATTAACACCCATCTAAATCTGCATAATCCACGAAGGAACAAGGACACAATGCATATTCTATTCAATGTCTTGGCCCAACTTGACAGCCATGTTTACATCCAACTATTGTTATAAGAGTTGGGTAACTGTAGATTGCAAACAAGTCACTAAATGTTACCATTAGAACTTCAGCGTTTTATTATTGTTTAATGTGTTTTAAAGATTTCCACCCCCACAACTTTTATTTAGATCATGCCCAAGGTAGCTCACAAAAATAATGCAAGACATACCAGTTGGTTCCTGGCTGGCAAGCTGCGGAAAGAGATACTAAGTTGTGGTGGGGACTGTGTGACCATGTTTGCACATCACAACAAGCCAAAATTCCGAGACATTCAGGGTTCGCCATTCAACCACAATGCACTAGTGAGCACTGTCAAACAGCAAACAAATCTTGGACCTTCTGCCTGTGGTTGGTTTGGTGTGGCATCCTCCAACAAACCAGAAAAACAACTGAATAACAAAACAGAGGTTCTTCTCTGGCTTGTTGGGAGGGAAAAGAAAGACAGAGCACTGGCTCCTGCTAAGTTCTGATAGTGAAGAAACTGCAGACAGTCAGCAATGGCTTCCTGCTCCAAGTGGAAGCAATTGCTGACGTTCCCCAGGAACTCCAGATTGTCATGATTTTTAATGCACCCTAGTATTAAAGCTTCTCTCCAGCTTTCTGATATTCCTCCTCCCGCTGCTGTACTTATGGTGCCATGGTTACTACTCTTCTCACCTACCAGGTAACCTTGCTACACTCCCCCCATCCTTAGCTCTTTTCAGTCCATCTTTTGAGTCTGTATAATGGAGGACAGTGGGAGCCCTCGTCTTTTTACCACTCCCCTAAGCCAATTCTTTTGGATGCAACTACCACCATCACTACTCTGTTCCATGTGCATTCTGCCAAAGGTCAAAGTAAAGCTTATGCATGGACAACAGTATGTATAAAGGACACTTGCCATACTGTGGTGAAGCCTGTAAAATGTGCCTTTTGATAGTGTACAACAAGGGTTCCCAACCTTGGGGAACTCAGGTGTTCTTAGACTGCAGTTCCCAGAAGCCTTCACCACCAGCTGTGCTGCCCAGGGGTTCTGGGAATTGCAGTCCAAGAACACCTGGGTTACCCAAGATTGGGAACTGCTTGTGTACACTGACCAGAAGTGAGGATCCTTTGGCTTTCCAGATGCTGGGGCCTAAAATATCTTTCCGCTCAAGGAGTCCACTGTGAGAGCTGTGGCCCAAATCACTTGCAAGGCCAAAGGTTCCTGACCCATGCCCTACATGCCAAACATGCCTACACCTTCAGGCCCTGTTTTGACTTTCTAGTGTATCAACTGGCATGGCATCTTCCTTTCGGGCCCTCTGTGCATGTTTCATCTGCCACAATCAAACCCTTTGAAAGCTTCTAAGCAGCTTTCCTTTGGCCAATATTAGCTATATGTGTACAAGTGCCTCAATCATCAGACATGACAGCAAGTCTTCTGCTTATTCCAGAGCTGGGAAATGTTAGTTTTACTTTTTTTTTTAATGGCAGGTCCTGCCCCCCCTCCAAAAAACAACCAAACCAAGAAACAGACAAGAAACAAGTCACAATGGGGCTTCTGGGAAATGTGTCCCAAAGCAAAACTGTCCTAAGCTCTTTTTTATTCTCACAGAAAGAAACTCTACCCACATTTGATAAACTGAGGTTATATCTTAGGTAGCACAGGTAAAACTCTCCCACCAAGCACCATTGGAATACATATGTCATGAATGAAGAAGAAGACTCTTGAGTCCTGGGTGAATGGAGTGAGGGGAATAAATATTCAACAGTCATTTTGGTGGTTGCCTAATACTATTTTCCCCCATGACTCTCCTGCCCGCGTTTCTTTGAGTTGAAGCTGTTCGTGCACCCTTAAAAATATAAGCAACCTCCACTGAAAATTTGAGTACACGTTGCTGTTCAGGTTTTGCTTCAGAGGCATTCACAAGACAGTTTTCCAGACAGTATATACCTGTATGATCTGCCTCTCACAAACTCTGGGTTCTGTACTGGAAATCCATGGTTAATGAAATTTTCCACACCTTGGCCAAAAGCCAAGTGGGGACTGGAATTGTTGCAGACTCTGGTTTTCAGATGAGATTCTGAGATAAATTTGGAGGCTCTCGCTGGGGAGAAAAGACTCAAAGGAGACCGAGGGAAAGCAACAGTGTTCTAGTGTCTGATGCACAGACTAATATGTACACATAATTCTATTTATATGTTACTGGTCGAAAATGTAAACTCTGTTCCTTCATGACAGTACTGATTATGATGGTGATGATAACCTCTCTTTCTCTCTCTCTCTCTCTGTGTCACCCTCCCTCCCTCCCAATCTTCTCCCCCTCATCCTCCCCCTCCCAGACTTTGTCTGCCCTGACTAAGATCATGAAAGAATGCTGGTTCCAGAGCCCCTCAGCCAGACTTACAGCTTTGAGGATTAAAAAGACACTGAAAAAGCTCAGCACCTCCTTTGACAAACCCAAACAGCCTTCCTTACAGCGAGACCAGCCCAGGGACCAGAGATCAAATGTCTGATTTGTTGGCTGGGCAAGAAAGTTCAAGGTCACCCCCCTCCCCACCCCCACCCTGCATTTGCAGCCTCTCTCTGGTCCTCCTGGCCTCTGTCAGTGGTTGCTGCTGCAAACCTTGTTTGAAATCTAGCCAAGGGGATTTGGGCTAGAGCCCCCATGGCTGGGATTGATCCTTTGCAAGGAAATTTCACGGAACAGATGACGGCTTTGGGCCTCCTTAATTTGTTTTCTCTAGCAACAAAAGGGAGGGGACAACACCCACCTCTCTCCCAGAACATACATTAATAGAAATACCCCCTGGATCCGTAACCTGACGCCAGCTCGTCTCGCCACATATGCCTGGAAAAAAAAAAGAGGGAGGGATCGTGCTTGGAAACAGCGCAGCTGCTCTGCCTAAAGGGGTGCTGCTGTGGAAACACCAATTAAGGGTCATTCATAAGCTAGTTTTTAGATTGGGTCTGGAGGATCTGCTTGTGTGAGTTTCGTATTGCACAGAGCATGTGGGATATCGAAGAGAGCGAGAAAGCCTACTCAGAGGTATTTCCTTGCCAAAAGAGGGCCAGATTCACATGCACATGGATAGGAGTGGTTCCTGCAGGGGAATTTGTGAGCAGAATGCAGACATCACCACTGTTTGCACGTACGTGTGTGTGTGTGTGTGTGTGCATGCGCGCGCGCACACACACACACACACACACACACAGAGGACCTGACCTTGCTGTTGTTCCCTCCTGCATCCCCAAACCCAGTTCCTGTCTGGAGCTGGGATGTTTACCTACTTTCTAACTGCTGCAAGAGGCACTAGTAGGAAGACATGGGAGAAGAAAATTGTGTTACAGATACCCTTACAAACAGTGGATTTTGCCCATTGTTTCCCACCATCCTGACCACAAGGACTGAGCCCAACCGATTCACTATACTGTATATTGGAGATCAGCTGGGGTTCACCAAAATGCAGCCATGCTGTTATTTAAAGAGCAGATCTTATCTGTCCCTAAATGTTTAAGGAAACCTGGAATAGTATTTGACAACCAGCATCCAGTGACTACTTTTGCATAGTCAGCTCTGAGCAAGATGTTAGGAAAACCTGAATGCCAAATTCGGCAGAAAGCAAAAGGCTAAACCACTGTGAGACATTTATATTTTGACAATGTGACCAAAGGGTTGGATGGGGATTACGGTCTAAAAAAACATTTGGATCAAACATTGCACTCATGCATAGGAGCACTACATACCTGGTGTGCAACATATACAAGCCAAGCACGCCATGTGCATGAGTCCACAAACATTTATTTGGCCCTGTGCATGGAAGGGTATCATTTTAAAAAGATTGGTGGCAGCAGTAGGGTTACAGCATTCTAATCACCCTCAAGGCTGGACCTCAAATCTTTAAACTATAAAACATGGAGATACAAGCAGATTCTGTTGAGATTCTGTGGCAGTTCACCAAAATACCTGCAAGTGTGTGCCTCCAAGGAATTATCACCCACACACCTTGCATTTCTTCGTAAAGGCTGCCCATGGCCAAAGCAAAAGAAGGGGTCTCATCCTGACATAGTGAGATAGTTCTGGATCATGTGCTGCTGGTATCCATTAGACACATTTATACTTGCACATACTATATCCATGACAAGGACAACTGAGTGAACCTAAGTGAAAGACTTGTAATGATGTTTCACGAAGAAGACTCAAGTTGATTTTGAAGTGTCATTATTTTGCACAGAAATTATTTTATATTTATTAAATATGCATAAAAATGTCTCCTGCAAGATCATAGTGTTTTCCATGCACAACACTGCAGAAATATTTTCCTGTACATATTTCTGTCTGGGGTTTTATCGGATAGAACTTACATTATTTTGTTTTGTGTAAAGGTGGGGACGGGGAGGGGGGGGACTGATTCCATAATGGAAACAGGGAAGGCACAATGGAAGGAGAAAGGATAAAAGGTGCATAAAGAAAGAATGCAAACCTGAAGCAAGGAAAAAAAGGGTCAGCAACTTTCTTCACAGGATGCATAAATCCCATTAAGGCAAAAAGGAATGAAGCACCTTAACCACTGCCTCATAAATAGTTATTAACCTAAAACAGTGAACAAATTTCTTAGAGAAACCTTGTAACAATTTTCTTTTAAGCTGCATGTGACTAAAAAGAATGCTTAAGTGGATAGGCTACTATAACCAAGTTGTGGGGTAGCCGAATTTGCAGATTTATTTGCTGAGGGATAGAGACATGCCTAAAGCGAAATGACACCTGAATTAAAATTTGAACTTCGGATTCCTGCCAATATCAAATATAGGCTTTCAAAAATGTTCTTGATATTTCAGTTTTGCTATCACATATTGTAACATTCCCATTCAAAAGGGCATGCCAATTAAGTCTCATCAGTTTCAAATAATTATAGCCTACTTCATTTGTGTCATTTCTAGAGCTACATGTGTGCTACACACACACCTAGAACACACAGGTGTTAATATGTTAGGTTTTTGCACACAGGTGTATCATACAGATACACTAATCAAGGAACTGAGATGGGCTGCGGACTCCCTGACTCGCATCCTTTTTGCACTACTGTACATCCAGACTCGCTGCTCTGTTATGCAGACAGGAGCGCAAGACTGGAATGCAAGCTGCTTTTTGAGTGGTAGTTCAGGTGTGCTCTCTGCTTAGTTCTCTTTGGAGATGGGAGGGAATTCCAAGCAAAGGATGTGGAGGAGAATCCACAGCATGGGTACAGTGTCTACAGTTGGGATGCAAAAGGTCTCAGGCTTAGTAGCATCTCCACATAATGCTGTCAAAGACGGAAGCTCTGGGAAACTGCTGCTGGTTGGTGTAGATCAGGGAGATGATATGTGGCACTCTAAATTTTGTTTATAGACTACAACTCCCATAATCCATCACTCTTCGGCTATGCTGGCCAGTGCTGACAGGATATACAGGTGGGATACATCTGTGGAAGAACAGTTGCCTGCCCTTCAAGTAGCTAAAGGATGCTGAATGAGATAGACCCGTGATAGGATCTGAAGGAGGACCTTCCACTGACTGAGATGCTTCCATCAGCAGAATCAGGAGGGAGACCAATTCTAACCCAGACCTACTGGGATCTATCACACAGTTACTAAGCTGCCACCAACCATTCCCTATAATAAGTCACACAGACCAGGGATGGATTTTTAAACAACAAAAGAATAAGGTTTATTTTAAATACAAACAGGGTGAATAAAACAATCAGGTGAATAAAATAAAGTAACGTGGCTTATTCTCACACACACAAGCATACAGTTTGGTTCACCTAGAACCTGTAACTTAAAGCACAGACCCTGAACCCATCAGTTCTGGCTAACCCACAGACACCTGAACTTATCAGGTTGGTACTCTGACACACAGTAGTACCCTGTCAGACACCCAGACTCCCACAACAGCTTCTTCTTCCCCAGCTGCTGCTTCGTCCCAACCCAGTGTCTCACAGTCTGTCTCAGCATCCACTCTTCACCACACAGGCAAGTAGCTATAGGATGCTGAATGAGATAGACCCGTGATAGGATCTGAAGGAGGACCTTCCACTGACTGAGATGCTTCCATCAGCAGAATCAGGAGGGAGACCAATTCTTGTTCTGCTTTTCAATGCTGCTCTAGAGGGCTAAGAAAACACAGAGTGGCATGCCTGGTTCAACTGGGGAGGGCAGGAAAGGACTGCCCCACTAACAGGCCCCTGCTAATGGGTCACTGGATTCCTGCCTATGTTTCCAAGAGCTTGGCAACTGTATGGTTTGATAGCTGTCGGTTCGCAGTTGTCTATTAGAGACATACAAATGTGTCCAAAATATTACAACTGGCTCCATGTTTTGTTTTTAATAGCAGAGGAAGCTCTTGGAGTTCTTTGTGGCTCTGGCTGAGTGTTTTATCAAGCTGGGGGTGAACAAATATTTATGCATTAATGCTCCAATCAGTTTTCCAGCTCGAAAAGTGGATGCTGGACTGAGCCACAAGGAGAACATGCTGATAAGCCAGGAAAACTTGGATGACACACCAAGGTGTGTCTGCTCCTCCAAACCTTTACCCCCCCCCCACATACACACCATTTGCTACCAAAGCTGTACTCCATCCCATACCCATGCACTGGCACAGAAGCCCTGCTGTGTATTTATTTTCATGAGAAGCTTGCAGATGCAAATCAGTAACATATGTATCTAATAACTTTGTATACCCAAAACAACTCTGATTAAGGAAAAGTAAACATAAATCGTTCTCTGTGCTGGAAGAAGTTCCTTCTGTGCAATGTGTAAATTCAGGGATAAGCTTCAGATGAAGCTAAATACGGAAATGATAGAAACCCTCTGGTCTCCATAGCCACTAGTGCCAATACAAGCTTCTCTTCAGGAAATCTAGGTGGAATATGGTGGCTGCTCCAATGGAGCATAACCATTGCGTTTGTCCTATCTGTCCTGCAGTGTGAAATCTTGAAGAATGTATGTATTTTCTTGCTTGTATCTTGAGGAGCATCTGCATCACATTGGCAGGTCTGCATGTCGGAACATGCTGGGGGCGTGTTCTGACATCACAGCAAGCTGGTATTTTGAAGAAGCCTGGCTCGGCTAGCATGCTGGGCTGATGCATGGTGGCTGCTAGCTCCCACTTTGCAGCATGAGTGACTAAATAACCCACAAATCCTTGGTCTGTGGTTTATTTGGCATGCTGTGTAAACATGGCAGGAGCTAACTATGTGGCTTATTTCTCTGTCAGGAAGCCTGATAAAGAATCCACACTTCTTTCCTGGGTGGGTTCCCTGGTTTGATATGAGTTCTAAACCTGGTAGTAACCAGAGTTCTAGCTTGTTCTGGTTTCTACCAGGTTCAGATCTCATATCAAACCAACCACTTCTTGAGTTTGTTTTAGCCCCTTCCAAAGAACATTTTTGTTGTGGTTTGTTTGGGCCTATTATATAACCCTTCGCCCGTCGTAGAGCTTGCTGTCATATAAAGTAAGTAAGTCCATGAGTATACCTAGTGTATACAATGGGTGAGAAGTTTAGCACATGTTATCTTTTAGGAGTTTGCACTTTGTATTCTCTGCTTTACATGTTACAGCATGCAGCTGCTGACACTGTCTTCACAGTTAAAGATTCTCACATAAAGTGTGACTGAGCCTTAGTGCGTAAATCTCAGTGTGCTGCTAGTAATTTCAGAGATGCGTGAAGTTCTGGCTTTCAGACTGGTTATTCAAGTTCAGACATCTGACATTGTGCTGTAAGGCACAAATGAGTTCCTACTGTTTTTCCAGTATCATTTCCAGACACAAGAAGCAGTCTTCAAAGAATCACAACGTCACAGGAAACGTTGTTGAGGCAGCCTCTGCCTCAATGTAGGAAATCCAGAGGCAGAAGAACCCCAAGACCTACCTGTTCAGTGTCTGTTTAAAACTCAGCAGCACAAACAAACATTAGCCATGCTTCCTGGGGGATTCTGGGAATAAATAACATTTCCATTTTCTGCTCTCACAAGAGAGAATGCACTACACATTTTCTCATACTGATCCCATTCTTTAACTGCAGAAAGAAGGTCCTGCTGGTTCAGATCAAGGGCCTCTTTATCCCAACATTCTGTCTGGTGGGGGGGGCAATCATTTGGCATGAGTGCAAATTGCATTCTCCATCTTATTAAGTTCCCCA